GAGAGAGAGAGAGAGAGAGAGAGAGAGAGAGAGAGAGAGAGAGAGAGAGAGAGGTATAATGTTAGCCGAATAGCAGAGGGAAGGCGAAACCTCGAAGACTTACTGCGGTCTCCAGAAATGAATGCCTCCGCAACAAACTAAATCACTCATCACACCCAACCATTTCCCATCAAACATGAAACCTGAGGTAATCTCCCGCGTATTGAAGAAATCGAAATAAAAAAGCGCCTCGCACGCAAACGTCATAATGTGTCTGATGGGTATTAAATACTTCCACTCGTTCAACCGTGTTCGCAATTTTTTAACAGTGTCACTTATGTATTATTTCTGACGTAAGTTTGTAGATACAAAGCATCAGATCATTAGCATGTTGCTTTTCAAGAATTTAACAGAGCTGCTCCCAGCAAATAATGCCGAAAATCACTGCTACACCCCCCCACCCCTTCTCTCTCCCTCTCCCTCTCCCTCCCTCCCTATCTCTCTCTCTCTCTCTCTCTCTCTCTCTCTCTCGTGTACAGACATGGCGCGACGCACGGAGGCACACTCGGCCCCAACGGCCGGTGATGCTGCTGCCATCCCACTCATGTTTATTCAGCTGGAGATTAAATGTCTGTCGCTGGAAAGCAAATCCACGTGGCGCGATTCGGTCTGCAAATAATATACCCCCGACAGCTACGCGACACGCCACGCGACCTCGTTCCGTCCGGCAATGTTGTTTACGCTCCGAACGTAGACACTGAACAGCGCAACAATGACTGCTGTTGATTGTATGACGTGGGCAGACGGGGGACCGAGTGGAATGGGGGACGGTTGGGGGCTAGGGCGGAGAAAGGGGAATACGGGGGGAGAGGGGTTAAAAATTACACACTGTCTCATCCGGTTTGGGCGTGACCCTCGCCTGCTTTTTCAGCTCGCCATACACAGCAGGCCCACCGACGTTGCCTTTTTGCGCTTGCTTTTGCAGCGCTGCCAACAGTCAACAGAGCCCGGCCCGGCCAAGGCAAAGCAGCCCTTTGACAGAATAAGACCGTTCCACGACAGAAAACGACAAGAGACATGAGAGCGAAAGGGGCAACAGGCGGATCGGGGTCACGCGGATTATTAGAACCCTCGCTTTCGTCAAGGTACACAGCTATCTACACTGGACAGAGGCGCTTTTTTCTTAGGTGTCCCTGCTACCTCTACGGTCTACGGGCGGGCAAGCTATGCGCTGCACGAGGTAGTACCCGGGTGGGGGCCATAAGGGGAGTAATGTGAGGTGGCAGGAGCTGTGCACGTCACCTTGCCCCGCACCCCCTCCTTTCTCCTAACTCTCTACTCCCCCGGTATGAAGAAGTGAGGGGTCTTCAACAGGTAACGCACTTGCTCGACTGGTGGTTCTGGTGCTGGTGGTAGTGGGGAGAGGGGGGGGGGAGGGGTGCCTATGAGCGTGAATAAAGACTTTTACACAGCAGGGCCCCACCTCGAGGCATCATGCTGTTGCGGCACATAGTCAGCAGGGAGGGCACTCCCTTTCGGTAGAGGTCCACGCAGTACCTCAACTACAATCCATATTGTGAACCTGACAACGCTGCGTAAGATCAGAACTTTCACCAAAATCACAAAAAGTTTGCAACATTTGTTTCCTACCACTCTAAGAGGTATTCCAAAACACATCCGATGTTTGACTGAATTAGTAGGGGTATAATTTTAGACACAGTCACAGTGCCGACAAAACCAGACCGTTGCAAAACCATCTCCTTGATCGACCGCACCTGACCGACTCGGTCAACGCAGGTCGTGTCCTCTATCCAAAAGGGAGCGACATTACAATATAATAACGTCACGGATACCCTTGACTTGGCCTTGGCCTTTCGGAAGGTTACCGTCACTGTGCTGTGACGTCCTACACGCATTTAACAAATCTGATTATTTTCCAAGGATCAATCGGAAAGAAATTCATTGATTGATGCAATTTACTAACTGAATTACGTAAAATTGAATTCAAAAATATATTTCACAAAAGATCACTATGAAGGAAAAGAAATCAGTCGCGGTTAGTCATGTAGCCCGGGTCTCAAAGCACTCACTCTCATCCTTTTACTGTAAGACCGTGGATTTGAAGATCGGAGGGTGAGGATGAATAGGGGAGGAACTATCTTAGTCGGTAAGAAAGAACTCACGTATGACGGTGAGGTTGACACGAGCATTCCTCGTAGGTGAGCGGATAAAGTCCACCCTGCATCGATACATGCCGCCGTCCCCATCCCGGGCACTTTCCACCGTCAGCTGAGCAGGATTGTCGGAGACTCGGAAAAAAGCTCGGCCACCAAACGTGTCGTCCGCCCAGTGCTTGGCCTGGCCGCCGTTACCACGCGCATCGTAGCTGAAAGTAGAAAAAGCGAAGTAGGTATTAGAAAACAAAATACGATGAAAAGTAATGAACACTTTGACTCAGCTCTGCGCGACATCGTACGACCGAGAAAATACCGCCAGAAAAAATGCTTTCTTGCTCCAAGTACAATCCAGCGAAAATCAAAATTAACCAATTTGAAGTATCTCACATTGTGTTATATTTTTATCGATTCCTTGTTGAATCGACACTCAGTGGATCCTCGCTATCATCACGATAGCTGATCTATATAACCGATAATGGTTTCGGGGGAAAAAAGATATGACTATAGTTTAGCGACAGAATTATTTTTCGCATCTCGCTATCGCGTCTCGAACATCAAACAAATAGTCCGTTTCTTTTTTCTCAGCTGTTGTAAGAAAGTCGAACGATACTTTTGAGCTACCAGGGTTGACCTTTATAGGACAGAGGTTTGCACTCATACATAAATTTGTTTTAGAGAGATTCGTTTCTTTTCATCGAAACAACCGTTGTCGGTCTGGTACCGCGTGAGCAATACTGCGAGCCCGATGCTCCTGATACGCTCCTCGACGGTGCGAGGGGTCACCCACATCTCCGCGTCTTTATCTGCGCCTTCCACGTAATACATAACTTGGTGTGTAATGGGGGGTCATCCCTGCCTGCCTGGCCTGCCTGCCGGGCGGCACAAAAGATACTAAGTTGGCGTGTGAATTAAGGAGAGTACGAAGAGCATCTCGAAAACTTGGACCATTTCGGAGCTGAGCAGGGGGCTGGAGGGGGACGGGAGGGGCGGGGAAGGAGGACTTGCACACCAGGCGTTACTTTTCCCTCATCTCCAGCGGTCCGAGAGGCTCGGAACCTCGCTGCTTCAGGTCTCTTGGGTCGACGCCACCATCTCACTGACCCGACCCGAACTATGGCACGAAAAGCACAGCAACTGCCCAGTAGCCCGACAAAGTTTTTACAACAAACATTTAGTACATGAAAAAATGACGTTTAACTTAGTTCTTTGGTGCATTTGCAAACCCCGTTACTGACAATAAAAGCTCAACCATTGTGTAACGTCATCATAAAGTTCGCTGGATTCATGTGACTTAAAAAGGGGCCCGGCTTACTGCTAGGTGAAAATACTGGAAAAACAAAGGTAGGACATGGTGCCTTTTAAAGGTGGTATACTTTACTGCTCTTGCAAGGGCGCAAAAGTATCCAAAGACTAAAATGTAACACTCTTGGGGCATTTAAGTGCCTTTCCAGGAGTGCGAATCATTTAGTGCCACTGTAAACGCCCTAAAGCCAGTAACACCTTATCATAAAGGGTGTTGCTGTTTTTTCAAGTGTGAAAGGAATTTGGTAACATAATTTCCTGTGGTCTTCTATGAAAACATAGACGACGGAGTGCGGATTAAATGAAGAGAGTTATCTGACAATGAAAGCCACTCAAAACTCTACGCTTATCCGTCCGAACAAATCTATACCGCACCCACTCACGCCCCTTTATTTCACCCCCTGCAACAGGTAAAATAATAAATCGCACCCTCACCCGCAGTCCAACTCCTCGAGGGGTGGATAACTTCCCTGCCAAGTGTACACCCCTAATTCTGCCCAATTCAAACTAATTCAGACTAATTCAATTTAATTCAAACAAATTCAAAACAAATTCAACTAATTCCGTCCAATTCAAGACAATGTTCAGTCAATTCAAGTCAATTCAAGCCAATTCACGCTAATTCAGTAACATAAAATCGCAATAATTCAAACTAATTCAAAACCAATTCAGTCCAATTCAAATTCAATTCAAGCCAATTCAAGCTAATTCAAATTCAATTCTTGAAATTTGTACACCCAATTCAGGAGTTATCCACCCCTCGAACTCCTGCAACCAGTGACGCGCGCCGCTTGGGTACTTGAATGAATCGCTCGGCCATCGTTAAGAAGTAAAGTCTCAAGTAAAAAAAATAAAAAATAATGAAACTCGCTGCAGCTGAATGCGCTTCAATGCGATATGAGAAATGTACACGAAAAAAAAGAGATTAGTTGTAAGGGCGAATACAAATGCTAATCTTGGGGTCATCAAGAAATTAAATGTGACACCTGAGCATAAGCCCGAGACAAGAGTTAGGTGCCACAGCAGACCCGTATTTTCGGGTCATTACATCAATTATAACTCCTATATGCCAAAACAGCTCTTTATAAAATACTAGAATTTAATAGAAAGTGTCAGGACTTCATGGCGCTAAGATATTTCTTCCAAAACGGTTTGTCGTGAGATACCAGAGAAATTCTGCACAGAGTCGTGCCACTTCCATTACAGTTGTTCAATTTTCTTTGTTCTCTGTTGGGCTATGCTCACCTGTATATTGGTTTCGGAGTGCCCTCCTTGAACCAGATGACTAGTGATGCCTTATCCCCGATGATAGGGGGAATCATGTCACAGGCCAGCTTGGCCACTCCGCCCGCAACCGCCTCGGCCTGCAGCGTCACCACTGCAACAAAAGACAAGACCAGAACATTACACATCGTTGACAAAATAATTACAACAAAATGACCATCATAATACTTTTATATATTTATATTTATATAGTGGTAAAACAAATCACGCGGAATAAGATCATCCGTTAGTTCCGGCCGTTTTGGAAAAGGAGAGTGTCTTTCTATGGTGCATACCCGGATTCCAAAGAAATAATGTGAGGAGCTCATCTGGCCGGCAAATGACGCTGTCAGGGGGGAGGGGCGAACTTCGTACCAGAAAACCTGCCGCCGGCCCAAACCGCTTTTGTAAAGTGAATAGAGAGGAAGAGCGCTAGTGGAAAAAGGGGAAGGGGGGGTGGCCTTGTGAGATGTGTGGCTACAGAGCGCCACTAAATGAGGTTGAGCGCGGCACAAAGGAGCGCGGCGCGACGAGCCCCACGGGGCTACGGCCCCACCCCGCCCCGGGGCCTCAGGCGTCATTCCCCGCCGGCGCACGACTCATCCACGGCTTTCCTTTGACACACACACAAACAAACTCGGACGCGCGCGCTCGAGGAAATAATACATTGAGCGCCCCGTCCTTAAAGCCACCGCACTCGCGTTGCGGGGGCGCAAATACGAACACAGGCAACATTCCGTCATTAAAACTCTTGAGGCGACTGTCCATTTCACAGAGCCCCTTTGGGGGGGGGGGGGATGTGCACAACGTTGCGCATGTTTGTGCTCACGCTCACTACACGGTAGTGTGCAATATGTAACGCGGCCGGGCAATGTATTACAGAGACCACTCGATGTGCGACTTAAAGCGCTTTGTCCCTGTTTACTTTACAGACGCCCACCGCAGCAGCCCGGCCAGTGTAAATATCACACAGCACGTTTCTGCGCATGCGTCGGCGTGTTGTGGTGGGCTCGCGTACTGGGTCGGGACGCAGGGTTACTTAGCTGGTAAAGGAAGTTTAGGCAAACCTGCTTGCACCGCATCGTGCAAAAAAACGGCGGGTACACGAAAATATTGTACGGTGTGTGTTGCTGGCCACGAAACTGAAAGGCATTATCGCATTCAGGCGACAGCTTTAACCCTTCCTCCACTGCGTTCAAGAGTGCAGCGAGACCATTTTATAAATATTTGAAGGGGTTGGCAGGGGGGGGGGGGGGTGAGCAACGGGTGTTAACAGAGGATGGAAGCGAAGGGTAGTATAGGAAGAAGCAGCGGCCAGGTAGGTAGAGAAACATGAAAAGGGGGGGAGGAGCAGCGGAAGGGTTAAGAGCGGGAGAGGGGAAGGGGTAGTGCTTTATGGCAACGGGATCAGGGCACTTTATGAGCCATAACGCGAAGCGGTTATTAGATCCTGCCTACTGGCCGGCCGAACTGTGCTGCCCAACCACGACGGGTACATAAATTATTGAGGATTATCGTTTCCTGCCTGGTGAGTACAAACACGGCACAGCGCGAGTAAATAAAAGTATAACAAGGAGGCTCCGACCCCAAACAGAGTTGCCAGAGGCCAGCTCCGCTTCGTCGGCAGCTCTGTTCGACACAACTGCCACCGGCAGGAAGGCGACGTTCGTTCGGGCCATAGGCCTTTCGTTAACTTTCAAAAAGGGGCAAGGAAAGAACGGATGCCATACTGAATGTTAATCCTTTGGCAAACATGAGCTGGCGAGACAAACCGCCGATTACATAAGCTGGCACACGGCCTACCCAGCACACGAAAGTAATACCATGCAAATAAAAATAGAAGGACAAGAGACGAAATAAGAAAACTGAATAATGCTTCGCGCCACTTTACTGCACCGAAATTCATGAACGGCGGCTGTAGAAGAAACCATTTGCTTTCCGGAGACCTCCCCAATTCTTTTCTTCTCCTCACGAAACTGTTCCAACACCTCTAGCCTTTCGTGTTTCCCCCTCACTCCAATTTGGCAAAATTAAGCGGGCCGCGAGGCGCAGCCAAATTAGGCGGGTTGGCCGGGCGATAAGCGATGCAGCCGAGGCGGGGAAGAGGGTGGGAGGAGTGAGCCAGCTCGTATCAACGGAGCGGCCAGCAAGGCGGG